CCCTCAAACCTTAAGGCACAACATAATCCCAAACCTGAATTCACCATCAGATGATCTCTCCATGCTTGATTTTTCATCTGATATTCCTCCAACTTCTTCTAGTAACCCTCTTCTCCAAAGACCTACCCTAACCACCAATAACCAATTCTCTATACTTTCTAACCAGTAGGAAATTCCAAACACCACCTTTAATATTCCTTCTAATCAGGAAGTCACGGATGTCAATAATCCCAACAATGACCAAACCCCAGGAAATCATCCTCAATACATGATCCAAAGCCAGCATATGTTGGGTCATGTCAGCACCTCCCAACCAAAAACTCAAACCTTGGGTAGCAAATCTACAAGAGCCAAACATGTCAAAAAGGAATACAACCCTACTTCTAAATCCCAATGACCTTACCCCTAATGGGAGTTTGGAATGTCCGTGGTTTTATAGCCCAGACAAGGTGCTGAGCTGTAAGCAATTTTTTAGCAAACAAAATTTGGATCTAATGTTCTTATTAGAACCAAAGTCTCTGTGCATTCAACCTTTGACCCCTGGTTCACCTCCACTCACTTTATTAATAGCAATGTAGCTACTTGTGATAACTTTGCCTACTCTAATTATGGTAGAAACTGGATTAAATGGAATGGTAGTAGAGTGGACTTCAAGCCGTTACTTACTACTAGTCAGGTAATTCATGGTATGGGTTATTTGGGTATCAATAATTCTTATTGTTTCTCTATTGTCTATGCCTACAACTCCATGGAGGAAAGGAAACTGCTCTGGAAGCAGCTTTTAGATTTGTCTTGAAACATCTCCACTCCTTGGGTTATCCTTGGAGACTTCAATTGACGTAAATTCCCTCATGAAAAAGCTGGGGGTTGTTTCTTTCTCAAAACAGGCTTTTGGATTTCAATAATTTGATTTTTAACATTAGAGTCCATTAGTTATCTTCAGTGGGGTACTACTTTACTTGGCATAATCAGCGGTCTGATAGTCTCATTCATATCAGATTAGATAGAGTACTTGTTAATGATGCATGGATTGCTTCTTAATCCAACTCCTTATATATGGTTAATGATCCTCTTATCTCTGATCATTCCCCTATTAATATTTTATCTCAGAAGGCCACCTGTAAAAATCACATATTTCATTATAAAAACTACTGGGCCAGCTTATCAAAATTTTGGGATTGTCTCATTAACGCATTCTCTTGCCATACTCACAGAAGCGTGATCTTTTCTTTTTACCACAAGCTCAAGACATTTTAAAAGAAGTATCAAATCCAGATCTTGGGCCTCCTTTAATTTGTTCAAACAAGAAATTGAGAATCTCTCAAATGCCCAAAATCTTTATTTAGCTCAAATACAACAACATCCGTTGGACTATGGCTTAAATGAAACTCTCAAAACCAATAATATAAAGCTTGTGGATAGTAACTCTGCGTGGTGTAGTTGGATTACCCAAAGAGCCAAAGCGAGTTTGTCACGCCCCAAGATCTAACTTGGAAAGAATGTCAATCAATTTCTCAAAACAATTTACCAGAGTTATCTAAAACCTTCAATTAAACAATCTATCAAACATCTATAAAATTTAAAACATCAATATATAAGTCGATTCATCTCAAAAGGTCATGTACAATACTCAGGAACTACACTATAATCACCAGTATTAAAATCTATCATGAGTACAAAAGAATCAAAATCATCAAAAGACAAAAACCTGAAGATCCGGATCAATTCCTATCTTCTGCTCCCTTGCCCTGACCTGAAACAACCACATATAATAAGCTTTACAAAGCCCAACAGGTCACCTAATACCTATAACTGAGATCAAAGCACGACGATGCTATCAATATGCATGTCAGTCAAT